CAGCAAATTAAGACCTATAAAAGTATAGAGGTAGCTAACTTCTTTGTCAGCGGGCGGGTCCACAACCTCGGCACCAAACGTCTCCACGACGATCATCGTTTAGTCTTCGCCAGGGTGAGTGTTTGTTCTTATGTTGTTTTATGTGTTAAAAGATGCTAGCGTTAGCCCAGTCTACCGACTTAACGTCACCCAAAGCGCTAGGACAGCCTAAACAGTCACAATGAAGTCCATATTAGACTACCGGTAACTTATTAATCATTACTAAGTAAACGAGCATTTAACGACAACCTTATGCTATATAAACACAACCACAAAAAAAGTTAGCTAGCTAACATAACGTTATAGCTAACCTCCGACGAAGCGGTCGCTGCAGACACGGGCATTGGCAGACTCTGCTCCTCCAGACCGCAGACGTAGGTCTGAAATCCATTTTTTACGGCGTTGTTCTGTGAGCTTTTTACACTTTTCACCTTTATAAACGACAATCTTTGGTACTCTGTAAAAGCTCTTTTCCTTTTCTCGGTTCGAACGATTGGAGCAGCCGTAAACTACACTACGCAGATCCTCAGCTACTTCACTTCCTGCCCTCCAACTGAGTTTTGCGGCGTCGCGAAGCAGCACTGTGACGTCACGTGAAACCAAGCTATTAGTGATTGTTAGCGGGTCGGCTCATGTTTGATAAACACGCATTACCCTGCTATTTTCAGTGCAAAAGAGACTTAAGGTAGGAGGCATAAAGGAGCGTGACGTTCAATGCCATAACGGGACCACGGCTGTGGAATGACGGGGACTCACTGTGATCTGCTGGTGTTCAATCGGTGAGCGTGGTCCAGAAACAGCCTCTCGCAGAGCTGCAGCACGGTGAGCAGAGCTGCAGACAGAACACACCAATCATTTCATCGCTCAGGATTATTCCCAGTACTGCCTTCTTCACGCTCCTTACTCTCTTCGCTGCCTTGGGACAGGAACTTCTCGGTGGTGAACAACGGTTTCTTCTCATCCAAGATCAGGTTCCAGAAGCTGCTGAATTTGGCCTCTATGAACAGATAAAGTTTGCAGCAGTTTAAGGATGAGAGATTCTTTAGTGGTCTGTAGCTGAAGCAAAGTCTCACCCGTTTGTGTCTCCAGCAGAGAGAGTCGACTCAAAAGAACCGAAGCTGCTACACCCTCTGCAAGCAGAGCATGCTGGGAGTTTTGTGCTGCAGCTTTCTCAACTGTCTGGAGGAGCAGCGGGATGAGGTCTGACGCCTGCGCCAAAGTGTCACCTGGAAAGCAATAAAACGGATGGTAAAGGACCTGGGGACAGCGGAAGGATCCACTAATCCAACGTCACCCAACTTTACCTTTAAAGGCCCCCAGCATGGTCTGAAGGTACGCATGGCGAACAGCGGAGGTGGAGGTCTTCAGAGTAAACGCCTTCTTTAACCAGTCCAGCAGAGCGGCGGGGACCTCCACCGTGAGGCGACTGCTCCACTGAGACAGAACCCCCACTGCGTGCACCAAGGTGCCCTCGTGAACTGGACAAAACACACAACAGCGGCTGCAGAACTGGTCCTCCAGAACATCAGAGCGGCGTGAGCCTCTGCGAGAAGCGGGATGAAGAGCCGCCTTACCTTCCTGTTGCAAGTAAGGGATGAACATGACAGAGACCGCAGAGCTCAGAGTCTGACTGGAGGTTCCTGACACCGCGTGATGGCTGCAGCTGCCGATCCCTTAGGAGACCACAACACAATCACCAGTGAGTCGCCTTATACACCATTTATCTCCATAAATCTAATCAGAGGTTCTGAGAATTTCTAATCAAGCGTTTTCTGATTCCTCCACCATGAGCGGCCCACAGGCGGCTGAGGGAGGTAGAGCAATCCAGTGTTGTGAAAGTTCTCTTTCTACGTGAACTAGTTCA